TGTACTCAGGAGGCCTTGCAGAAAACAACCTGGAGTGTTTTCTTGCAATAACCAACAACAGGCTCCCCTAAATCACAGTCAAAAGCTGTTTGTGTGTAAAAAAAACAAAAATTGAAAAATTACCACCACACACTTTCTTCAATTTTGATTGGCTAAAACAGTTGCATCAATGCACTCCATATACAATACCTCTGGGTGTCTACGTAAATATATACACTTTCATGGCAATAAATAAAACTGGGGTATACGCCCCAAGCTAAAGATAGGCCTATCAGAAGAAATACTCTCAATTTCAACTCAAATTGCAAGTCATACAATTGTAACCGTACCTTCCCAAAATCCTGGCAAACCTATGCATGGGGGGCATGGGTGTACTAAGGAGGCCTTGTGGAAAACAACCAGTGGTGTTTTCTTGCAATAACCAACAACAGGCTCCCCTAAATCATAGTCAAAAAGCAATGTGTGTGTAACAATGAAAATTTAACAATTACCACCACACACGTTCTCCGATTTGTTGACTGAAACGATTGCATCAAAGGCATCAAAACACTCCATATACAATACCTTGGGGTGTCAACTTTTCAAATATACGCACGCTCATTGCAAGAAAATACATTGGGATATCTGAAAAGGCCCCCAAAAAGGATATAGGAAAAGAAGATATGTAAAATTTGAAAAACACATGTCAGACGTTTGGCTTTCCACCCCCAAACAACCCAAAAAACCTATGCATGGGTGGTATCGCTGTACTCAGGAGATGTTGCTGAACACATATTGGGGTGTTCTTTGTCAGTAACACCTAACAGGAGCTGAGAATCCATGCCTAAAGTAAAATGTGTGTGAAAAATAACACAAAAAAAACGACTATCCAAACGTTTGACAAAGACTGGTGGTAGAATGAGTGCATGGAAAGTGTTAAAATACAACCATTCGAAATACCCTAGGGTGTCTACTTTTCAAAAACATATGGTGTGATGGGGGTATATTACATTGACCGGCTTCAAAAATGTCCCAAATAGGACATGGGTGCATGATGATCAGCTATGTTTTTTTGTTTTTTTCATCATATTTTACTTTTTTTTTTCTAGTAAACTATAAGATATGATGAAAATAATAGTATCTTTAGAAATACCATTTAATGTTGAGAAAATTGGTATATAATATGTGTGGGTACAGTAAATGAGTAAGAGGAAAATTACAGCTAAACACAAACACTGCAGAAATGTAAAAAGAGCCCCGGTCCTTAACAGTAAGAAAATTGAAAAATGGCCTGGTCACTAAGGGGTTATGTGACATGCTGACACTATTTTTCAGGGCTGTATATCTGCACCTTAATGTGTTAGTATATTAGTTTGATAATTATTTTTTACTACTTTAGTTTGATTATTGCTGTTTTATTTATTAATTCTATTTGAATGGCACTTACAAATGTAATTCATGTGAGTAAAAATTCAGTTTCATCAAGTTTTCTAATATCTTTGTTTTGAGATTAATGAGAATGAGAGGTTTTAAATCAGGAGTCGTCACCATACGGACCATGGGCCTTACAAAGTCTGCCCACTGTGGTATAAAATAAATGGCGGTATAAAATAATAAAATAAATGTGGTATAAAATGATAAAATGGTGCAGTGCTGGCCTAAGCATAGGGCAGCTCAGGACGCTGCCTATGCCCAGTGCTTTGTGGGCGTCTCTTTTGGCAGAGTACATACATCGAAGGCCTACTCTGCCCAAATAAACTGTCCGGGGGGAGAGGGTGGCGGCGAGAGAGTTATGTACTTATTGTGCTCCTCCTGCACGGCTCTCTTATTGCCTTGTAGTGAGGTCGGCAGCCGGAATGTAACATCACCCAGGCCCGGCATCACTACCAGCCGCAGGTCGGGGCTGTACAGGAAGAGGACAATGTAAACCCAGCAGCCCCCTGGAACTCAACAAGAGAGTTGTCCATTCCAGCTCTCCCAGGAAAAGGTAGGGAGGCTGGGCGGCTCTCATTAAATAAATAAATAAAAACGTGTGTGTGTGTAAATGTCTGTGACTATATTTGCACGTGTGTGTTTGTATTTTCTGAATGTGCACGTATTTGTGTCTGAGAATGTGTGTGTTTATCTGAATGTGCATGTATTTGTGTTTGTTTGAATGTGTATGTATTGGTGTCTGAGAATGTGTGTGTTTAGTAGATAGCACCCTATTTATGCCCTGGGGAGATAGCGCAGCTAAGCGGACAAGGGCACATGTAGGAGTGTGGGGATAGATGCGTGGGAGTGTCTTGGGAAGTGTGTGTGTGTTGGGTTTGAGCTATGTGAGCTAGTAGGGGGGAGGTCTTCCCTCAGTGCCACTTGGGATTCGGGCCAGCAAACAGCTTCCTGCCAGCCCACCCCTTGTTGTATTAGTTAGTCACAGCGAGCCGGGGGTATGTCCTTGCCAATTAAGTTTAAGGGGTTATGTTTAAGGATGGAGTAATTTTTATTATGTTTGCAGGTCTCAACCTCCCCTGCTTCAAAGGGTTAACCATAGGTTGCCTGAGGTGTCGTGCCCATCGAGCGTGGATAAGGTCGGCTGATGGCGGGCATTGAAAGGATTTTTTATGACGAGGGGGAGGTGAGAGGAAGTGGTGATTAGGAACCACTGTATGTTTATTGGCAAGGACGGTTGGGTCACTGTATAACACTATGGGTGGAGTTATATATGTATATATGTTAATTTATGCTTATTTATGTCTAACAATTTGGTTACAGAAAGAAGAGATTTAATAAATAAAGTTATGGATGTGTTATGCAGTAATTTAGTTTGTGATAATAAATGATGTGGCCTGTTTCATCCATACTAAGTGGTCTGTCGTTATTGGGGGATTGAATGGGGTTAGTTCTGTACTAGGCTGCATTGCGATTCCCCACTACGTACGTACATGATTTCCAGTAATATGGCAATCCCACAGAAGGATAGCAAATTAGGGAGTTATTTATTATATTAATTTCGCTATAGATAAATGGTCCTTTGTCCTTTTACACAGATGGCATTCGGCCCTCATGTGGAAATCCCTGTTTTAAACAGTGTTTGAAGGATTGTGGCCAGGGTGGTACACTGCCACCCTCCCCATGTGTTCCCTATTAATTGTTAATTACTTTGTAGGAGTAAATGAAATACCCCTTCCTGTCTCATTAAAGATTTTGCCTTTTAGCCAAAAGCAGCAAGTTGTTGTTAGTGTAGAACTCACATACGAGGGTTTCCTTGATGTGGCAGGTGAGCTTACACGTTAATTGCAATTGGAGTGAAAATAAAAACCTTTAGCTATTTTAATGTGCGCAGGGATTTGGGATAATGGGCAGGAAGCGTTTTTTGGTATTTGGGCTAACAAGTAATAGACATTGCTGCTGCCCAAGAGTAGTGGGAGTTTAAATGTTGGGCTTAATATTGTGTGTTTGTATTTTACTAATAATACTATTGATGTCAGCATGTGGTGCAGGTCAGATATAGGATGATGGACCGTATAAAACACAGTCACAGCTACGGCACACGCTACAGAATGAACCCGTTATAAAGTATACATGAATAATGTTCTGCAAAGATCTACACTAATTGTGGATACAAATCTCTGTTGGGCCCACAAGAAACTCATTACACAGGAGCACAATGTGCAATGGACCTCAGGGGCCCATCTGTGAATAGTCACTGGATCCATTTTTAAATTATCCCTTCCACCATTCCATATTTAATGACTATATGTACTAAGAACAGACAGTGTAGAAATGCAAGCGCCGTGCCTGACTATTGTTCTGGTTATTCTCCCATAGAATCATGGGAATCTTCATCGCCCTGAGTTTGTTCCTCTCCATTCTGGTCACCGTCACCCTCCTCCTCTCATACTGGAAGCAGACGAAGATGGCAAACCAGCTACCCCCAGGACCACCTCCACTGCCCCTGCTGGGAAATCCCAGTTATGTGACCAAGGAGGGAGCTTGTAAATATTATCCTGAGGTAGGTACTACTGACTGTAAATACTGCACTGGGGTAGGTACTACTGACTGTAAATACTGCACTGAGGTAGGTAATAATTAATGTGAATACTACCATGTCGACCTGTAGGTACAACAGACTGTAAATACCACAGGTAGATAACACTTTAAATTCTGCACTGAGGTAGGTAATACTGAAGGTATATATTATCCTGAGGTAGGTAATACTGAAGGTATATATTATCCTGAGGTAGGTAATACTGAAGGTATATATTATCCTGAGGTAGGTAATACTGACCTGAGGTTGGTACTACTGACTGTAAATACCACCTTGAGGTAGTTACTACTCAATGTAAATACTAAACACCCTAAAAACGAAGATACGAAGCATCAAAAGATGTGTGTGTGAGAGAGGGGTGTCTGAGGGTGTTTTTATCTGCCGTCACATTCTAGGTTTCTAATTTTTTGACTGAAGGTTATTTCATTTATTATATGTGTGTGTGTGCTGTATATGTGTGGGAGTGTGCTGCGTGAGTGAGGGAGCAGTGTCCGTCTGAGGGAGCAGTGTCCGTCTTAGGGTGCTGCGTGCGTCTGAGGGTGCTGTGTGTGTGTGAATTTATTTATTTAAATTTAAATATATTTTTTATTAATAATTTAATAAGTTATATCCCCACCCCCCTTCTTACCTTTAGCCTGGGAGGGAGGCGGGAAGCCGGGTTTCCATGGGGGGGAGCCATGCTGCCATGGAGGGTGCCGTGCTGCCTTCCCTGGTTGTCCAGTGGTGAGAGTGAACTCTAGCCTGCAGGCTAGAGTTCACTCTCGCGAGATCTGAGCGTTGTTGCGGCAACGCTCAGACCTTGCGCGAGGACCCGGCATACCTGCTGGCTAGAGCTCCGCCAGTCCTCTCCTCCCTCCCTCCCCAGCTGGCGGCCGCTTATAATTGCCTCTGGGCCGGTGAGGGAGATCTTTGATCTCCCCACCGGCCCATGGAGGCACACAGCAGGGCCGGCACACTGATAGCGCTGGCCCTGCATGGGGCTGGCAGGGGAGAACCTGTGATGTCCCCTGCCGGCCTAGGCCCCACGGCCATCGCTGCCCACCGGGCATTTGCCCGG